TTTAGCATGGTATAGAGGACAAGTCTTGGTGGGTTACTGATATCCAGGGAAAAACAGAGAGGCCAAGACTTCATCTTGGAAAAGGGAGATTCTGCAACTTCCATGAAAAGAGAGGGAAACAGAAGATATATAGTAGCGTGTAACTGAGGAATAAGAAAGGGACTGGGACTTGAAAAAACATGTTTGTTATCTCATGAGGTACATGAAAAGTGTAATGAAATGGCAAGTCACGCAGAAAGAATACATAAAATGTACTGTTAACAGAAAAGTTCATTACAGAGTTTCCTGAGTGTGAAAACTCAATATGACACACAGATGAAAGGGAGGACAAGGCTCTCTGGATGCTGATACCCAGATTTACAACTAGATTATGTCAGGGAGAAGTTCAATCTTTCTTTCTTAGATTTAGTAACTTCCATTCCAGTTGTCCACTGGGTTTTTAGAGGATTTCTTCAAGCCAACATATATCAGTGTGGATATTCATGTACAGAGAAAGAGAAGCCAGCAAAAAAGCCATCTTTCCTCCTTCTTCCAAAAGTGAGGATATCCTCCACATTTCACTTTTTTTTTCTAAAGTCTAGAAACTATGCAATACAATTTTTTTATCTAAAATGATAGCAGCCTAGGAGTTTAGGTAGATAAGTCAGTCTTTTGTAAATACCAAATCTATTGTTTATTGAAACAAAAAACATAAGGGTCTGAGGAACCCTTTAGATGAAAGCCACTAGAGAAATCTTGATCATTTTCTCTGCTAATTTACTAGGTAACTACATTTATCAGACTACTTCTTTGGGCAGATTGTCGTCTCTAGGAACGCATGTTTTTATCTCCCGGAAGTTGTATTTTCTGCTTGGCTGGGTACTGCTGTTCTGTGAGCTACTGTGATCATGCTTGCACATGCATACACACTTGTATCTGAGCAGTATGCAACTGGAAACCTATGCGATCCATAAGAAAAAGGAGAAAATGTTAGTTGCAGGGCAAAATGTTACACATCATGCTTACAGCTACGTAGGTAATAATGTCATTACTTAGAACATTGTTAAAATGTATCTGATATCTCAAACTAAAAGGTCTGCTGTAGGGTATGAAACTAATATAAATAACAACTTCAGTCCTCAGCTCAGCAGTAATAGTAAAAAAAGAAGAGTATCTCTTTTTCCCCAAAGAGAAATGCCTTGCACAAATACTGATCATGGGAACCATTGATGTCAGTAGTGCTTGTAGAGATGTATTGATGTTAAAAAAAAAAAAACAAACGGTGGCTGTGTAATAACTTCTGAAAATGGCAAAAGAAAAGCATAGTGTCTATTTGAACATGTGCCACAGTGCCAGTGACGGAACTCAGGCCTGAAGAGGCAGCATTCATTTGAGACAAAATATATTTCATTCTACTTCAACAAAATCTGAAGCAATTTTAGTTGAGTAAAAGAATATGGACTAGTCCCTGCTATGTTCCACTTTATCATGCTTTCTGCAGACATTGCCTTCTCTCTAATCTATTCATCTTCTGTTTATAAGGTGCATTTTAATTTCCTGCTATGTTGTATCATTTCTTTGATTCTGTCCTTTTAGTGCATCCTCCTTTCTTATTTTTCCCTATATTTTTCCCTATATTTTTTTTTTCCCCACAATTACTTCTATTAAAGTTTATCTTGGAAGCCTCAACTGAAGACAAAGGGTCCATTGCGCAAGAACTACAGATATAATTGGTAGGTGACAATCTCTTCCAATTGTATTAGTTAAAATAGCAAAGTGGGATAAAAGAGAACAAACACACTGTCACATGAGGTAACTTCTTAGCCTTTCTCACCTCTTGAAGCTCACTCATATTTATATAAAGACTATGGTTACTTTTTATAAAAGGAAGGTTCAAAGCATAATAATAGAGTTCAAAAGCATATGATGTACTGTATCAGATGAGGATAAGTGCTGTGGAAAATAGAGAAAACTCCCACCTACCTAAAATGAGGAAGGACATCTGTATTATCAGTGCTATAAAGCTATGATAGGTATGAAAGGTATGATATGAAAGGTGGCTATGATACTACCTTTACTCAATCAAATTCACATGCAAACATTTCAAAATCCTTGGGAAGGAGCATATGTAAGCAACATTAACTGAAAGAGGTAAAGTATGTACCATATTACCTTTTGATGCTACAACAGTCTTTCACTTTGGATTTCTTAAGAGCATTTTATTCAGTCAGAATCTCATCCAAAAAGCCCACAGTTTCATTCCATGCTAATAGGCTACCAGAATTATTTTGATAACAATTTTGATCTTCGCCCACAGTAGTTGTCTCAATAAGCAGGCTGATTTTGTTCTGATTCAGATCAGTTGAAAACGTTCTGCTAAAGTCCATGGGACACAGTTGTTTTCACTAAGAAGTAGAGTCTTTGTCATCATGGAGATATTTTCAAAACTAAGGAGAGCTTACCAAAGTGAATTACTGACTTCTCCCTGGTGTAAAAACAGCAGGTTTAACAACCTAAAGCTTATGAGTAGCCAGATCTGTTTTCTTCGGGAAGGAAAAAGTAGTCCCATCATTCATTGGGAAGGACAGAGAGATAAATACTTAATCTTTTTCAAGATGCATCTGCAAACTATGCTGGAGAAGGAGCAGAAAAAGAAAGGCAAACAGTATTATAGTAATAACTAATAGCTAAAGGAAAGCACATCTTCCATGGTGGATGAATAGTAAGTATGTATTTGTCCCAGTTACATGTATATCTAATTACTCTGTCAAGTCCAACAGTTCTTGCTCTAAGGCCTTTTACACACTTTGGTGGACATTTATTCTGATTTTAGTGGAATAAGACCAAGAACGCCTTGCTCATGTATGGATCAGTTTTTGCCATTGTGGTGCCACCAAGTGCCGACTTCAACTAAGACTGCAGGACATCCCAAAAAAATCTTCATCCCCTTTCCTTATCCTTCTTAGGCCAGAAAGATACTGATGAATTTCCAAAACAGCCTGGCACTAAATCACAGTTCTCTTAGGGAGATCTTTGTGTGTGGTTCTGATTGACTAAAAAATAAATACAATGCACCAGATGATATTTAATTTAAGTTAAAATATATATCAGGGTTTGTTCAAACTTCTCTGAATCTTCCTGTTTTCTTCTGCTTTGATTCAAATTTAGAAAATTCCATTGGGGGAAAAAAAAGAAAAAAGCCCAGGGACATATTTATTGCAAAGGTTTTAAATATTCCATTATTAAACAACTAGACTGATTGCATTGTTCTTAAATAGAGTGAGCTCAGGTGAGAATATGGAAGAATATCTGAGACAAATATTCTAATGACTTTGAAATAAATGCATCTTTCCATGACAGCATTTGCTTTTAAAGATCCTAGTTGCTGAAATAGCTTCTTGCATCATTAATGAGTAGTGTATAGCTGGATGATTGTTCACCTCCTTTTGTGCAAGAACTTGGATTTGCTTTGAATACAGACTATGGAATGAATATATTTGAGATTTTAAAGTCCCTGCTTTCTGAAAAGCAGCTTTGTCACCAAGCCACATTTCTGGAGATGTGTAACATTACCAGTTTCTTCAGTTTTCGAACTTGCAAAAATGTAAATCATATTTTAGGACCACCACCAATCTATCTTTATGCTTTACTCTATGCTTGGATGAGCATACTTTTTCAAAACTCAGATGAATTGGAGACTGTAAAATGCTCTTCTGAAAGGATATAAGAAAAGGCACTTTTGTGTTATTTTCTATATAAATCACTAGATTGTCTTTTTTTTTTTTTTTTTTAGTAGGTGTTTCAACATAACTTTGTAAGCAGCAGTGTTGCTTATAATGCAGAAGTACTGTTAGAGTGTTTTCTTAAAAAATAAAAATCAAATAGGTATTTGTTGAACAACCAACTCTTGCATGAGATCCTCAAGACCTACGGCTGGTAAAATTGATGGCAGTTCACTACAGTCAGACTTTCAGTTATTCACAAGGGGGGAAAACCTGCTAGTGGCAGTTGCCTTTCTCCAAAGTCATCTAGACTGGGGAAGTTACAGTTAGTTCTGTTTGTACTCTTAAAACCTTTTGCTGTACATTCATGCATTTCCCTATGGGTAACCATCTCTTAATTTTTTTTGGTCTTGCTTTATTCACCCTTGTGACTTCTTTTTTCGTAATACGTAGTGAGATCCCTCTGTCACTGTGGAACTTTGAATGTTTTTCTTCCATGCATTTCCCAGAAACATCCACTTTTCTGCATTTTTTTTCTTTCCATTTTCATTTGCAGTTTTTTGTCTTTTCTAACTTTCTAACTTGCAAACTCCTGCATGCATCCAAAGCCATTAGACATCCACCTGCTCCCTCATAGAGAAAGGTGCCTTTTAAAGCACGTTCTTCTCTGTAATTCCTATGCTGTGAGTGCTTTTTACTTTCTCAGTCTCCTTTCTACTACCCTACCTCTAATAAAACCTTTGCTCTTAACATTTAGTAGAGACAATCTTTCAAAATTATTTTCATAGCCTTAAGCGTGTCTCTTGCATTCTCTCATTATGTCTTAGAATATTTAGTAGGAATTGTAAAATATGATTAGGTGTTCTGTCACATCCATGGTCTTCAGATTTATTTGATATAAGAGTGATCTGGGGCTCAGTAGTTCATTCCTAGCATAATCTGTGTGAAGTTCAGCTAAAGTTTTCTTCAAACTCTAACCATTGTCTGTTTGCTGTTATTTTTTATGAAACAATCTTTGCAGAGAAAAAAAGAACGTCTTAGGTGAAAACCAAGATTCTTCCGAAGGGTATTTTTGCTCTCTACCAAAAGTACTTGCAGGCTGGTTTCCTGAACATGAAATCTTCCTTCACCGATGTGTTGGAAGATTTTTTTCTTTTTTCTATGAGGGAAAATATTTGCAGTTAACAATAAAACACGTTCAAACCTATAAATACATTTTTGAACGTATTTTTTGAATTTATAAATTTAAAGTTTGATCTGCTTTTTGGGCTAGAAGGAGCTTGAGGCTAGGGAGCCAGCTGGTTTTCTCTGATATCAGATCCAACTGGGAAATAGCCAGGTGATTTTTATAAAGGGATAGAAAAAAGTCAGGTGGGTTTGGTGGCTGGAAGGAAGTGGAGGGTTGAAGTGTGTGCAGCCTACCTTGGTCAGGTGGGTGGCTGGTCTCTGTGCTTTAGCAGTACGGCCTCTCATGAAAAACAAAATGTAAGCTGCAACTCTAGTTCTTCTGGGCGAGCTGTTAATTTGTTTTGGTTCTCAGTAACTGAAGATTGAATATTGAGAAGATGTGAAGCAGGGAGTTTACCACTGGTACCTGAAACGGTAGCATTCAGGCTGTAGACAAAAGTTTTTATCTGTCAGATACTTGGTGAAACAGGAAGTACATCTGCTTTCACAGCACCTTTCTCCTTTCATCTGTTGCAGCTAAATCAAGGTAAAATGATTTAAAACTTGTACTTGTCCATCTCACTAAAGTTATGTGTAGGTGAGGTTGCTATATCTCTAGGTGCTGTCTTGCAGGGCTACTGTAGGGATGTTTTCTGTGAACTCAAGGTGGTCTGGTGGCTTGGCTTTTTTTGTCAGGGTCATATTGCTACTGTCTGGCTCTCAAAGTTGTTTTAAGCGATAAAGTGATGATGGTTTTGATGCATGTTATGAATGTTTTATTTAGTGGTGAGGAAGCATCTGATGTTATGATGTTGTTACTAGTAGGTAGCACGGTCTTTAATGAAAATATTCATGATGATAATATAGGAGAGATGAGTCTACTGTTCTGTGTGTTGAAGCTTTCTCTGTGAGATTTTGAATATGTGAAATTATATTTTACTGTTAACCTTAAGACAAATGACTAGAATTAAATTATGCAAGTGCTTTGATGCTCTGGGAAGATTTATCCTTATATTAACATTTACTATATATGCTTTTTTGCTATTTTTTAAAGAGGAATATGTGTGTATATACATGTTAATCTCAATCAAAGCCCATGGTGGGGAAAAACATGAACAGGTTAGAATATCATCAAGGTGTGGGTGTTGATTTTTTTTTTTTTTGATAATTACTTGTGTGGTTTTTTTTTTTTTTTTTTTTTTTTGTTTTTTTTTTTTTTGAAAAGTAGCAATTTACTTTATCTTGTCTCACCAGGATCTTTGATAGAGATTGGACAAGAGCTCTTTGTTCCTTTTCTGTGTAGCTACTTGTGATTAATGAAAGCCTACAGAAAGGCTTGGTAAGCTTTTGATGAAGAGGCAAAAATTCCAGCATTAGCATATTTCCACACTTATTTTTTGTAAGCAAAGCTATTCTGTTATAGTATCTTTTTCCAATACAAGGTTCAAAAAACACCCCAAAATTTCTCAGAACAGCACTTCAAATATTATTGAGGGATTGTACCTGAGATACTTTTTCACTATAAAATAATCTTTTTAGTACTCATCTAGTTCTTCGTACTCTCACGTTATTTCAAGTTGTTTTTCTTTTTGGCTTTCTTGAGAAATATGAATGTGCTGATCTTTAATATGGGCTGTTTAAGGACTGTGATCCATCACGTATTCCAATAAAGAAGAACCTTTATTTATGTTGAATATAAAGATGAAATGCTGCATGTTACACAAGAAAGAGAACAAGAAATGTTATGTTTTCAGTTGATCTGAAGTTCATTAAATGCAAAACTGCTGGACTCCTGTTTTCTTTGTAAAGATGTATACATGTGTACGCTGGATATTGAAAATTACTACTTGCTGAGAGTATATGTAGGGGTATACAAAATATCATTGGGATTTGTGCCTTTGACTTTGCAAGTTTCTGTAGTGGATGTTGAGTATGTTGAGTACCTACTTTATAATTAGTCTCTTAGACCCTAACAATTATATCTAAATATGATTGCAGTATGGATCAAAATATTGTGCCTTAAACTACAATTCGAAAAAAAAATTGGAGGGATAAGTCTGCTGTTTTTTAATAGAAAGGTCAGAAGGAAGTGACCATAGATGACTGTAAATATGCTTATTAACAAGCTTATTACTGTTGTCTTATTGTTTTCAAAACCCATTCTCATGAAAGATGAGTAGAAAAGAGGTAAGAATAGAGTACTTTTTTTTTTTTTTTTTTTTTTTTTTTTTTTTTTTCCCCCCAGAGTAAATTTAAGTGAGTCAACTACTTAATGAGTTTATAGCTATTATGACTACTTGGTAATTTCCCCCTGCCCCTGACTCATTCAGGACAAAAACTATGCTTTGGAGGATGCTAGAGAATTCTAGCTGAAATATTAATGTTTAAATATTTAAGAGTATCTTAATTTCAAAACAGCTGCAGATTAGTGGAATTCTACTTGAAATTAATTTCTTATAATTCAATATCTATTTCTGCACTACAGAATGTTGGCTGTGCATTGAGCGCCCCCCCCTCAAAAAAAAAAAAAAAAAAAGGCACCCCAAACCCACAACAAACTAAAACTAGGAGTGACTTCTGTACAATGAGTACACTGCAATGCTGAACATAGTAACTGTACTGCTGTAAAACTGCTTTGGAAATGGCTTATTTTTATAACCCAATAAAATACAATGCTTATTTTCCAAAATGTGTCCTGCTTGCATTGTTGTGAATGACTCCTACATTTTCTGTTCAAAAGAGTGAAAAAACAATTCTTTGTAAATACCTTTCACTGAAGAAATTATTAGATAAAAATTGCAATGCTTGCTTTAAATGCTTGTCCAAGACCGTTCTCTGCTAACAACATTTTTCTAACAAAGGCTTAATAAATATTAACTGGGAAATTGGAGAATGTAAGTTATTTGGTTTATTGTGTATTACTAAGTAATTCTTTGGCTTTGGAGAACAGTTTGTCTTCTAAATTTCAAATTCTATGTAACCTGATTTTTTTCTTCTTCAGAACAGTAGCTCACATGAACATCAGGGTCTTTTTTTTTTTTTTTTTTTTAACAGGATGTAGTCAATATGTTAAAATGTCTTTTAATATTAAAGGTATGTAGCAGAATCTGCTACAAATCTTGAATTTGCAAGAGTAAAAATCAAACAATGCTATTAGTCTTTTGCTCAAGGCTACAGCACTGCAAAGGGATCTTAGAAGACTAAGATATTTGCAAAGCTTTTCTAAATGTTTAGAGATGGTCTCAGTTTATTTTTCTAATATCTGCAAATCTCAGTGTATCATGTCTTCATCCATTTTTCCCATGTGCAACATTCACTGTACTGTTATTGTATGCCTTTGAGCCGACATCTTGCCGTATATGAAATGGTCAATAATTCTTTCTGTGATACAAGTAAGAGTCAACATATTTTTGCTATAAATCCAGCAATATTATAGTTGGACTCGATGATTCTTTGGGTCCCTTCTCGCTTGTATATCCTATGACAATTCTATTGTATCTTTCTACCAAGCTCAGGCTGGGAGTGGAGCTGGAAACAGTGCAAGGAGCATGTTGGAGTTGCTGTGGTCTCAGAAACTGAGGTGGAAGGTGAAGGGACTGATAACTGCAGTGCATGGGACTTCCCTGGGGAGCCTCTCTGGATGCCTGGTCCTGTACAATATTGCCTGTGTTCGAGACCTTGGCACCACATGGTGACATCTTGAAGTATTTCTTCTGTAAGTCTCTGCCTTCTGACAGGAGTGGTAAGTATTTCAACCACTTTTTCCTTCTGTCCACAAAACACGCTACAGCCAGAAGCCCTGATCCTGAACAGTTAAGGGGGATCTTATTAAGACTGGTGCCTAGTGGCATGAGCGCCTACACTTGAGAAAAACAGTTCAGTTTTTCAGAGCTGCTGTTCCCCTCTTACAGGAGGAATACTGTAGTAGCCAAAGACCACTCACTGAATACAAATGCTTGGAAGAAAAACAAATACCCTGATTTTTGTTTTATCCTGCAGAAAAGTTGGGAAGAACTTGATTTCTGGGGAGGTGCCCTACAACCCCAACTAGCTGTTCAGCTGGAAGAATTCACTGTGTAATTGTAATTCTGTAGCCTAGAGTAAATGTAAAATAATCTGTTGAACTTGTCTGATTCAGAAAGCATTTTTACTCCAGAAAGCCTCATGGCTCTGGAGATGATGATGTTTTGAGCAGGGATGGCAGTTATGGTTTATAAAACTGATCTTTACAACACTGTTCTCCTGTTCTTGTGCAGAAAAATACCAGCAGTTAAATACTGCATTTATTTCCTCCAGGTTATGTATAATTCTAGTTCAGTATCCTTGTTGTATCTGAAGGTATTTACAGGCATCTTTAAGGAAAGATAGCTAAAGCACTAAGCGTAGTGCAAATTGAGCAAATGTTATCACAATTTTAAAGGACTACAGAAAGTTTTTGAAATTGCAAAATGATTTTTACTTACAGTAGAAACACGTGTTTATGTATGGTTGTCATCTTAGTAACTCTTTGAAACGTTCAGCAGTTAATGCTGTATAAACCAAAGCTAATATCTGTTTTGAAAAACAAAACAAACAAAAAAACACCAAATATTAATGGGAGAATGTAACCAAAATGAAATAACTTTCAAAAAAAATTGGACTTCTCTCCACAGACAGGAGACATCTCTTCCCTTTATACAACACGTCTCATTTGCGCTGCCTACTGTCCTTTGCTTTCATCTTACTGACCTCTGTGATAGCATACACATGCCCTGTAATAGTCCAAGTTGTAATGCTGTAAGACATACGTAATTATGGCTTTGCTGTAACTTGATAGTGAGTAGCCATAATTAAGATCCAGGTTTTGTTTCTTTTATCCTTAGATAATCTTTTGGGAACTATTTCTCAACTTCTGATTTTGTACTCGAAAGAGTTTTCAAGTGACACGAACAAAACCATTAAACCACATTGATAGCTGCTGCATGTGAAATTTTCATTTTCTAATGGTAGTAGTATAAGTGGAAGTTATTGGTTCATTTTTTTTTTTCTTCTGGTAAAAATTAGATATTAATAAACAAGGAATGTAATTTTGTAGGTTGAATATGTAACAGCCGTAAAAAAAAATAAATCTAAAATAGAATTAACTATCATCCCAGATCATAAACATCCTTTCCACAAGAGTATAAATAAGACAAATCATCTTCAGAAAATGACAGGTAGGAGAAATGTCCTACAGAAGAAAAATCCCTGGTAAAATTCCTTGTTAAATCCTGAGCAACAAATTGTTTGAGATCTGATACTTCTAGCCTCTAAATACTTAGCTCAGTGAGGGGGAAAACTGTACTGGAAGAACAATTTTTCTGGAGACTGAAGTGCTGAGACCTGTCTAGGAGTCTGGGCAGCAATGAGGTAAATGGATTATCAACGTGACACTGTTGCTGTTTTTCTTTTAAGTAAACAAACACTGAGATGGTGAAGAATTCTTCACTTCTTCCACCCCCCATTTCTTCTCTCCACTGGATTGTGAAGCTTGGCTTAGATCATGAGATTGAAATATTTCTTGTGTGGTGTGGGGGCTATATGAAGGAAAAGAGAGAAGTGAAGCATGGGGGTTCTATTTCAGGGCACTAGGTAGGAAGCTGGGGTTTGGCAAAAAAAAAAAAGTTCTTGGCTGTTTTTTTTTGTTTTTAACTTTAATTGGAGAGGTATTTTATTCTTGTGTGTATATGTCAGTCCTTGCAGTTTTTTAGTAATAAAGTGAAGGTTTGCTCCTTCACTGTGTTTCTTCTAGAGCTGTGTAAAATCCTGTAACATCAAGGGGGGTATCAGCACATCACTAAAACTGCAGACAACCTCTACTGCAGTTGAAATCCTCACTTTAAAAAAGCACACCATCCCTTTTACTTGTGAACTGTCTTGCTTGCTGAATAAGCACTTCTGCTTTGTCCCCAGTGTCTGAGTTGCAGTTGCCTGTAATTTGATTGTCACTTGTTGAAAAGGAATACATACAGTGTTGATTTTTTTTTTTTTTTTAAGTAATAATCACAGTATACGGCTTGCTGTACATTACATATCTGACTGCCTCAGCATGAGGGGAAAATTCCCTTCTTCAGTGAGACAGAGTCCATTTAGTATACAGATGTTTGTCATAAAGCAAAGAAACACTGTTCCAGGGAGATTTGATTTTTTTTCTCTATTTTAGAATATTAATGTTTCTAGCAAAAACAAAATGCTGCCTACAAGAAGGGAAAGGAAACAATGGCAAGAATTTAACTGCATTCTTATCTTGCTTTTAATTTAAAAAGTTTTATGAGGTAAAAGACAAACCTCTAGAGAGCTGAAAAATAAAATAGATGCTTGTAGAATGGAGACTCGGAGCCTTAAAAGGGAAGAATTTAGACTATAAACTCAATAACAGCAGTGTTGCTGTGCAAATGCTATAGAGGCCAGTGTTGAGGAAGCAAACCTTTCTGCCATGAATGTTTATAGTTTAGAGATTTGCCACTTGTATATTCAAATTTAATTGGCCACAATGAAATACATTTTAGTTTCCAGTTTGCTGTACCCATTTACAACAAGTATTTGTCACTCTTCATTCCGCATCATTCCTCTTTTAGTGAAATAGGCTCTCCACCCAGTGTCACTGCACCATTGGTAAAATTATCACAGGTATTGGAATCACAAGCTCTCAATCTGCTTGTATTTTTTAAAAGGTATTTAATTTTGTTTAGCAGAAGAAAAACAACAGTTGAAGAGGTATCAAAGAACATGAGATAGGGAAGCTCATGGTAGTTAAAAACATTTATCACTTTAATGGTATTTTACTGTGTGCTCCTGCATATGCATCAACAGATTGCAAATAAAGCAAAGGATTTGCACGACCTCAGTAATGCTTCCGGTGTCCCAGCCTTATTTCAAGCTGTGGCAAATAAAGCATAAATACTGCAGGCAGCATTTTTTTTCTCATTTAGTCACTTATAAAACAGACTTAAAAGGAACAATGCTGTGAAACCTTGCTTAACTGACCAGCGGGGGGAGAGAGAAAATGGAGTGAAAAAAAATAATTAATGGATGTGGATCTGTGTTTTAAAATTCCAAGGAATATTTTACAGAGGATTTTTTGTGTTACAAAAGATGCTTCATATATAATTCTTAATGTATGGAAAATATCACTTAGGGAAATGATGACTTGGTACTCCACCCATTACAAAAGTTTAGTAAGCAGTATTAATATTATAATGTCCCCCTTTGTTTTACTGAGATCATAAAATCATGGAATCATAGAATGGCTTGTGTTGGAAGGGAGACACCTTAAAGATCATCTAGTTCCAAGTTCCCTGCTATAGACAAGGATGCCACCCACTAGATCAGGTTGTCCAGGGCCCCATCCAACCTGTGCAACTTGTTCCAGTGCCTCAGCACCCTCTGAGTGAAGAATTTCCTCCTAACCTCTAATTTAAATCTCCCCTCTTTTAGTTTAAGACCATTTCCCCTTGTCCTATCATTTCTACCCAAGTAAAGAGTCCTTCTGACTCTTTTTATAAGACCTATCTAAATATTGAAAGGCTACTATGAGGCCATCCTGGAGCATTCTCTTCTGTAGGCCTAGAGAGCTGGGGCAGTTCAGCCTGTCTTGTAGGAGAGGTGCTCCAGCCCCTTGACCATCTTTGTAGACCTTCTCTGGACCTGCTGTATCAGCTCCACATTCTTCTTGTTCTAGGGGCCTGGATGGATCTGTTGGTTAGGTGAAGATTTTTCAAAACAGTGGTGACAGCAAACTAGTAATGGAAATCCCTCTCTCTTAGCTGCCAGTTCATATAGAAGTTAATTAACAAAAATCTTTTTGGTCCTAGATTAAGTTTGTAGTCGTAATTTGGAAGAGAGAACCATCTGAAATAATAAATACCCCGTCCCTGTTGTGGTAGGGTTTTGCTAGGGGTCAGTTCAAGCTGTCTCACATTCTCTTAGTGTATATTGGCAAACTGTGTATGCTCAGATGCAGGAACAGCTGTGCAGGTGCTCTGTGCCCTCTTTTCTCCATCCTTCATCTCAGACCTGCAGCTACTCCCCCTGGGAGTGTCAGATTGAAATATTTGGTGCAATCAGAAGAACATGGGGAGTTGGGGGTTGGGTGTTGAACCTGGTTTCTTTGTGACCTATGGAAAAGCTTTGAATATCGGTTGCTTTGGATCACTGTGTTTTAATGGATGTTTCTATAAGGATTAGTCCTTGTAAAAATCTCCTAACAGTGCATTTATACATTCTTTTGAAAGACTCAAATTCGGTTGAGGTATTCTCTGGTGAGAGAGACAAGGAGGAGGTGGTCTTGGAAGCTTCAGGCTTTCAAATATTTATTTTCAGATACGTGATCCAAATTAAATATGCTTATTAAAAATTTTTTATTAATACTTATAGGTATATAACACAAATATACTTGTGTGTAAACAATGCCTGAATATTTTGTATTCATGTATTGAAAGCTACAACTTCAGAATGATGCAGAAGATTGACTGCATTGAGCAGTTTGATCAGCCTTGCACTGTTAAGAAGCTACAAGCCTGCAGTTACTATTTTGAGATCACTAATTACTAGTCAGTCACTGAAAACTCAAAGCATGCTGTTTTTGAACACACCAGCCTTCTCTTAACACTGTAGCAGAGGCTGCGCTACATGCTGTGATGGGTTATGCTACAATGCTTTTGTCCATTTGCAAGAAAATGAGGAAATGAATGAAGAACAGCCACCTTCGCAGGTGTGCTGTAA